TTGACTAAAAAATTTACAAAATTTTACATTTTCTTCACTAAAATCTTGTCAAGTCTTCAAACTCACGTTTCACGAAAATTAATTTCACCAACGTGATTTCGAAAGAACGGTAATCGATCCGCAAAATTAACCCTTTATTTACACGTCAGAAGACCCATTAACGTCGACACCATCCCGATTCCGCATAAATTACGCCCATTGAGTTCGCGATACGTGATACTAATCGTGGGATTATCATATACGACGCGTCTATCGCAGACACCAGTTTGATTTCTCACTCGAGTTTGTCATACAACTGGCATGCGATTCCCGTAACGAAGTAATCGCGTTTCACGTCGCGATCCCACGTGTCCGAGAAAAGGTGTCGCAACGAATCGTGCTAGCAGGGTGGAACAAAGGTCTCTTGTGCTACCAGAACGACCTCCGAGATGTTCGTAAATTTTTATTGCCCTGTCTGCGCGACCTCAAAAGCGGTTCGAGCCTTTTTCGAAGCCTCTTTCGAAAAATAAATATCGCGGTGAATTTCTTCGAAGAGAAATTTTGCAACCTCTTCATGGGACCACGAATACGGTGAGAAAGATATAAAGAGACGGATTTTAGGATAAGATCGAGTGTGGAGGTGTTTTTATTGCGTCGGAGTAACACTTTTGCTGCTTGTGATTTTAATTTTAACCCTTTACACTTTCAGCATTTTTTTTTTTTTTATAATCGACCAATAGCTCTGGTGCACTGTTGCAGTGAAAATTTTGAAAGCCTAAAGTTTCACGTTAAAAAGAATAATTATAAAAGTTTCAAAATTGATTTACTTATTTTTATTTTTTTTTTAAGATCAACCACTAACTCTTGCACACTTTTGCAGCGAAAAATTCAAAAACCTAAAGGTTCCTGTTAAAAAGAAAAATTATACAAGTTTGAAAATTGATTTACTTATTTTCTTAATTCGCTTCATTTTAATCCAACTAAAATTTCAATGAAATCAAGTGCAAAGGGTTAACACTCTCCAGAAATACAAATTGAACGCTGCAGCTCTCAATCTTCAATCTGTACTCTAAGTATGAATTAATCACAGGCCACGAAAGTGTCACCCAGTATTTCCCCGCGATACCTAAACCGCTCGTCCAAGTATTCTAAAACGACAAATCGTAGAAACGAGATTCCCGAGCACTCGTCGAACCCTCGATATTCACTCGACAATCCAACATTGTCTGTTTCAGAGGAAATGCACAAATTTATAGCGGAACAGCTGAACACGTCGCGCGTGCCGCTCTGCATAAATCCGCAGTCAGCGGCGTTCAAGAGCTTCGCAAGGTAAGCCTTAGGTGGCCGATCATCTGCAGGTTAAATATTATAATCGAGAGAAAAGGAATAAATATCGATCGTGTGTCGATGATAGCAGAGATAATTTAGGGTGGTTAGGTTTAGGATAAGAGGGAATATTAAGAAAGGATATTAATAATCAAAAACGAACAGAAAAGAAAAAAAAATCGAAAAAAAAAAGAAAGACAG